GGAAATTGAAGTTCCCACATTCAATGGTGATATAAGTGAATGGGAATCGTTTCATGATCTTTTCAAGAGCCTAGTGCACGATGCACCGTACTACACCAACGTGGAAAAAATGCATAGGCTAAAGGCGGCGGTAAAAGGAGAGGCGAGTCATATAATACAACATCTAAGGACGCAGGACAACTCTTATGACGAGGCGCTACAGTTGTTGAAATTAACATACGAGAATCGGAGGGTGCTATTCAATAAGATGGTGGATGACATTTTGGATCAGCCAACAATGGATAGTGAGTCCACGAAGAGCGTGAAGCAGATGCTGGACACAACAAAGAATAGCATTCAAGGCCTTAAATCCATCAATATACAATTGGAAAACACCGAAATATTTTTCGCAAGGGTTATTTTAAAGAAATTTGACAGAAATGGATTAAGGCTGTACGAACAGCAAACAAGAAATCCAAGAGAAACACACAAGTTAAGTGACGTTATTCAGTTTTTGGAACAACAATATTTGGCGTTGGAAGCAGAGGTCGAAGATAAGCTATTTACAATCGAGATGAAGAAGAACAAGGATATCCGTCTGTATCGCTGGGGCAATAAGGTGCTGAAGGAAGCGAAAGTTGCCATGAAGATGTCTGGTGGAAATCATGCAGCTAGAAAACGGCAGACTGGAGAGACAAGAAATTATGAACTATGGGGCGATAAACTTTCAAAGGACTGCAAGATGGCGTTGCAAGAGAACGATGACATTTTTCGCAACAGAAAGAGGACGATGCATAAAACGGATTCAGCCTGGAAATTAAAGCCGGCAGACAAAGGAGGTGGGACGTTCAAGATAGACCGGCTGGAAAGATGGAGGAGTTTCCTGGGTGCCATAACTTAGTTTCTTTTATCTTAAAATGTCTGTTCCCTTAGATTTATTTGACTTTTTATAATTTCTATATTTTATACGTATTGTTGCCCCTGCCAAGAATGTTCACGGATAAGTGAACATGTTTTTATAATAAAAGAGAATAGCGGGGCTAACTAGTGTAGATGAGAGGGATTTGTTAAACAGGGATCTTTTTAATACAGTCCATATTATATAAGATAAGAAAATGTGGTGAACAGACCTTTGAGTTAGAAATAAATAATTCAATTGCTGCATGTGGTATGTTTGAGTTAGATTACTGGATGAAATCTTAACTCATACTGATAAGGAAGTGCAGCATGTTTGCTTGACACAAGTGAGATAGCTACGCATGTTTTATGACCTCCCCTAGAATTTATGGCGGCATGGTGCACAGGCATGAATAGATTTGTATCTCTCTATTACTCTCTCTCTCTCTCTCTCTCTCTTACACTTTATGCTAGACTAGGTTAAGAAAAATTATCATAAGTAGAACTTAAGAATTACTTTAAATGAATAAAAACAGTGTAGTAACAAAAGTAAAACGGTGCATACATTTCTTCCGCGTACAGCTATAGTCGTGTTGGGCCGACCATGTGATACCCTATAACACTACAATATGTTAGAAGCCCCCTTATGCCCAAAACCATTTTGGAAGATTTCGATTTTGAAATTATGTCACGGAGCACTGCCCAGATATTACCCTTAGCATTTTGACCAGGGACATTTGCCCAATATTTACGCACTCAGTTGTGCTGTTAGTTTTTGTGGTCTATTTTACAGCTAAATATAATCCAATGGTCATACAAAAAGCTAGAATTCTTTCCTGTCCTTTACTCTCTTACCAGGCGTGTCGATTGGCTTCAATTGTGTGATCAGGAAATTTTTTGCTGATTTTTTGGTTAATTATTTGCGATCATCTCCAAAAGCAGAAGGCCCCTCTGTATCTCCAAATTTAGACTCATCAATACGATTTGTTTGTCTACGATATATGGCTATATTCGTCAACGAAATCAGCATAAAAACGGAAAAGTTCGCCTATTGTGTATTGTGTCCTTTGGTTTCTATTTGTGACCTTTATTACAGCTTCAAAATCAGGAACATTTTTCGTTGTTGGTCCATTTCAACCCCTAAATATATTGCGGACATCTTTAAAAACAATAGGCCTAGCCCTTCTGAGCCTAACCCTACCTTTGTGAAAAATTTTGTGAGGATCGGACTATAATTGCAATCTGTATATAATAATCCCAACCTGTGGTATAAAGTGAAAAAAATATTACAAAATATACACTTCAATATTATAAGTCAAATTGAAAAAATCGCATGTGACAAAAAATATGAAAAAATAAAAAAATGTCACAAAATACTACAAAACCTTTATGAAGATCATTATTGGGATCTTTTTATGCGATTTTTGTTAGATTATATACTTTTATGCCAAAAGGGCATTCTAAATTTACAAAATTTGTCAAAATCGCTCCATCCCCTTCCTTTGTATATACACATTGTATATATTTCGATATATATATCCAATATTTTTCTCGCGGCATCTACGTAACGGCCAGAATTGACCTCTTCGTCTATTTGTGATTTCGCCGGCATTAAAAATATTCGCGGTTTAATGGAAATTTTGACTTTTATTTATCACAAATGTTATGGTCTATTTCACCCACTAAATATTACCCGATGACCATCAAAATTGGAAGGCTTCTGCCCAGCCCAAAGCTCTAACCCCATGCTAACTTCCGCTTCGATTGGTCTATAATTGTGACCTGTAGAGCAACTGCAAAATCAGGAAATTTTTCAGTTTTTGGTCCATTTTAAACCCTAAATATTATCCGATCATCTCCAAAAAATAGGGTTATATTCTGATATTAGCCCCACCTACACTCTAAATTTCTTGAAGATCGGGCCATAATTGCGACCTGTAGAGTGATTACAAATTAACATAGACAGACGGACATACATAGCTAGATCGACTCAGCTCGGCGAGATAGGAAGATCCATATATACTTTCCTATGTGGGAAACCAACATTTCGAGGTGTTACATAATTTTTGGCCCAATCAAACTTATAATACCCCCAACACATAGTTTTGTAGGGTATAACTACTGTTGCGTTGTAAATTGGGGTATGTGGGAAATTTTGGAAATTTGTGTACCAAATTTGGTACAATTTTCCATTTTGAGAAAACCGGTAGAGTTTGAATCCTGAAATTTGTCGGAGTGTAGGATTCGGATTTTGCGAACCGATAGAGCTGCAAACCGGAAATATGGAATTACGATTACTGTTGGGATTGGAGTATGTAGGAAGCTTTGGAAATTCGTACTTATTTGTACTACATGGTACTAAATTTGTTACAACTTGGATTTGGGTGAACAAATAGAGCTGGAATTCTGAAATTTGAAGAAAAAATTTATATGGGTTTTTATGATTGAGGTATGGTGGTAGTTTTGGAATGAGAGTCACGGATACTCGTACTAAATTGGAGAGCAGGATAGATGTACAAAAGGCTATTTGGAAATTCGATCTTAAAGGTTACGAAAAGTTCTAAAATTTTACTAAACTTCTAAATTTGTTTCATTTGGTATTACGTGAATAGATAGAACTAAAATATTCGGAAATTCGGTATGAAAATCAAGTTGGAAAGTAAGTTTGACATATTGAGGTGGTTTTGAAATTGTACTAAATGGTACTAAATTTGGAACAGTTTGCTTAAGGGCGAACGGATGAAGCTTGAATTTTATTTTTTTTTTTTTGGGTTTTGGAAATATATACTATAAATGTACGAAAAATACTAAATGGTACTACATTTGATACTTGGTGAAGGGATGTGACTGGAATCCTCAAATATGATATTGAGATCTCCTTCTACTATCTGGAATTGAGATATGGAACTGGTTTTGGAAATGTATACTGTAATTGTACGAAAAGTACTAAATTAGGCATTGAGTGAAGGAATAGAGCTGAAATCTTCAAATTGGATTTTGAGGTCTCCGTCGGTATCTCTATATGTTTTCAGAAATGTGTACTATAATTGTACGAAAAGTACTAATTGGTACTAAATTGATTATTAAGTGAAGGGATAGGGCTAGAATTTTCAAATTTGATATTGAGTTCTTTGTTAGTATCCGGAATTGAGATATGGAGGTGGTTTTGGAAATGTGTACTTTAGTTGTACAAAAATACGAAATATGGTATTGGTTGAAAGAATATATATGAAATTCGATATAGATATCACCGTTGATGTCTTCGGTTAGAACATGTTGAGATCTGGTGTTGGTTTTTCAAATGCGTGCTATGATTGTTCTAAAAGTACTAAATGATACTAATTTTGGATCACTGTTGGTGTCTGGGATGGAGAAATGTAGATTGTTTTGGATATGTTACTAAATTTGGTATTGGGTGAAGGGTAAATTTGGATTTTGTGGTCTTTGTTTCTATGGTTTACATATATGGAGACGTTAAGATAGGACTTGTCAGGCAAATGACACATCGTAATATTTGTATATTTATAGGATACCAAGGGTACAAATCTCCCAGTAAATTTCGCGATATCATAGCTCTTTCAATTATCTTCCAAAAATTAAGTTAAGGCTATAAAAATCCTATAGACATAGCTTAGTTGTAATTTTGAGTTAATTTGGAATTTAATTCCTTCGCGTTCTAAATTCCATATCTACTTAGTACAGAATGGTACTAAATTTGGTACAATTTCTATTTGAGTGAACCGAAAGAGTTAGAATTCTGAAATTTGGAAATCAGATTTATTTGCATTGTAGGATTAGGGTATATACAAAATTTTGAAAACTCGTACTCATGTGTACTAAATGGTACTAATTTCTGGTACAATTAAAATTTTGGGAGAATTGGTAGAGTTGGATTCTTGAAATAAAATTTCTATTGGATTGTATGATATAGGTTGTTTTGGAAATTCGTACTTATGTGTACTACATTAGTACGTTATAATTTTTAACCATAATTTAATAAACTGAATATGTTACGTCTGGTAACATAATTCATTGACCGCACACTGTAGCAAACTAAAGAAAAGTTGTTTTTATTTTTTTACTTATTTATTTATTTATTATTTTTTTAAATATAAATATATTACCTGTGTGTAGAGGAAAGAGTAAACATATAACAGCTAGGGTGGTGCATAATCTCCATATTGTATTAAAGTTGAATAATTGAACACAACTTCCGTCAATTGAACACCGTGAATTCAATGTCATTTTTGGTAACAGAGACAAATTTTGATTTGATTACTATTTTCGTGATTCTTTCAGGCTACGTGGATGGATGTTGATGATTAATTGTAATTATATTAGATTTCGATTTGAGTATTATTTGACAATTATTTTCAAAACATAATTTCCTTAGTTATAATTTAATTTTGTAATTGGGGTTTACTGGTTTTTTATTTTTATCTATTTTTTTCTAATTCTTTTCATTTCACTTTATTTCATTGTTTCGTTTCTTTTCTCTTATTAAGAAATTTCATTGCATATTAAAACGCACGCACACAAATACACACTCGCACCGTAGCATACCGACCGTTCCGACCGTCAGTCACTCACTCACTCTGCGTCATCACTTTTTGTCGTATCATGCGAAATTCAAGCCGAAAAACACACACACAAAGAGGAAACTGGCTAACTGGCTGACTAACAAACCAACTGACAAAACCCCACAATACAGCAAACGCTAACGTTAAAACTTGTTTCACTTTTCGTTTTCGTTTTGATTTTATTTTTCGTTGTTGTTGCTTCTCAGTGGTACACTGTATGTTTGGTATGCGCGCATGCGTTACCGCCTTTCCGCTCTATACCGTTCGCCAATGCTTTGTAGCGTTTCCTTCAGACTCGATTTGTTTGACGCGTCACTTCGTTTTGTGCCATGAACTGGGGCTTGTGTACCGTAGCGTGGTTCTTCTTAAACTAAACTTAAGATAGCTATTTTAGCCAGCTCCAACTAGCCAACAATGGGACTTGGTTGATCGACATGCAGTGGTATTAGGGATGACAAACGAGAAATTTTATGGTTTTGGGAATTTTTTTTTTTTCAAATTGCTAATCAATAATGAAAGGTTTCTAAAAAAATTTAACCTTTTGGTAGGAAATCTAAAAATTTCAATTTATTTTCTTAACTAGCATTTGCCCACGAAAAGTGTAGTTTGACAATTTTTTTAATCAAAACTTCATACATCGTAATAAATTTTCAGACTAGCAGACACGTTTTCATTTTACGGAAGGAATAATAGGAAAACTTTACCTTTTACACCAAAAAGTTTCCAAAATTTTTAAGTTTACCGGAAAAAATATTAATAAAACCATTGCACAATGAACCCATATCAAATTTTTCTGTACCAAACTATTTCCAGGTCTCTATATATAAAACCTAGCCTGCAATCGGAAACCAACACCTTCGTTGAACCACGAAGTCCAAGAGTTACATCCAAATCAAATTTCAGGATTTCAGTACTATTCCTTCATCCACTGCCAATTGAGTACTTTTCGTACAATTATTTAAACCACCTCCAGATACCAACAGAGACCTTTTTAAACTTTTCGTACAACTCTAGTACATATTTCCAAAACCATCTCCATATTTCGATTCCAGATATCAACAGAGACCTGAATAGTAAATTTCAGAAATCCAGATTTATACCTTCATCCAATTCGCACTATATGTACTTTTCGTACAATTATTTAAACCACCTCCAGATACCAACAGAGACCTTTTTAAACTTTTCGTACAACTCTAGTACATATTTCCAAAACCATCTCCATATTTCGATTCCAGATATCAATAGAGACCTGAATAGTAAATTTCAGAATTCCAGATTTATACCTTCATCCAATTCGCACTATTTAGTACTTTTCGTACAATTATTAAAACCACCTCTACACGCAAAAAAATATAAGCCTCTCTAACATATGTCCCAAACATATTTTGCAGCAAACAAATATATGTTTGCAAACATTCCCAAACATAACATATGTTTGGGTGCTGCAAACAAATTATGTTTGGGTCCAAACATAATTAATGTTTGGGTCCAAACATAATTAATGTTTGGGTCCAAACATAATTAATGTTTGGGTCCAAACATAATTAATGTTTGGGTCCAAACATAATTAATGTTTGGGTCCAAACATATTTTTTGTTCGGGTGCAAACATAATTTATGTTTGGACCCAAACATAATATATATTGGGGTGCAAACATAAATTTATGATTGGGTCCATTTGTATACTTACTGCAGATATAATTCAACCATAATGCAAACTAGTTTTAAAATCAATTTTTGATATTCACATTTTATTTAACATAAAAGAAATTCATACATATTATAATATATAATATAAAATTAATTGTAATAATTAATATAATATTAATATCAGTAATAAAAAATTGTTAAAAATAATAATATTAAAATAAAAATTCTAATTATAAAAATATTAAAGAAAATAAATAATTTATAATGAAACATAGTTTTTTATTTTCTTTAATATTTTTATAATTAGAATTTTTATTTTAATATTATTATTTTTAACAATTTTTTATTACTGATATTAATATTATATTAATTATTACAATTTTTATTATGCTTAAAATTATTCTTATGTTTCTAATATTAATTTATTATGTTTTAATTTTTATAAATAATATATTGTTGTTATTGATAAAATAAAATAAACATTTGTTAATAAGTTTATAATTTATATCGTGCCAGTTTTCATAAAATTTTTATTTTATATTAATTTTTTAATTTATTATTATTAATATTATTCTTAATATTTGTTATTATTTTTATTTATTAATTTATTATTTTTCCTTTTATTACAATCACTATTTTTTCAATAAAGTAAAATACTTACAATCTGTTAGGGTCTTCTTTTAGACATTCGTCAATAAGGGCCTTCGAAATATTCACCCTAACTTTATTTTGCAGGCGTTTTTCGGCAATAAAAATTCTCCATATTTTGTTGACAGCCGGAATTGACTTGATGGACTCTATGTCAGTCTTTAAAGTTGAAATAACATTTGTTTTTGGGGTAAGATCCCCAAAACCACCTACGGATTCACACTCCGATAGAGTGCCACTAACTGTCGATGCTGATGCCACTGATCGAACGGAGTCTAAATGAAAATTAAATATATTATTTAAAAAAAGAAATATATTATTTAAAAAAAGAAAAAAATATTAACAGCCTGTTTCTTTATTTTGAAACGAAATTTTTTTTGTTCCGACATAAAGAAACAGGCTGTAAATCCAGTGTACTTACCTCCAAATTGCAACTCAATATGAAAAGTAGGTGTTGACATATATTGATGAATTACTTTTTCAAACTGGTCTTCTTTAATGGTTGCACCAAACACTAAGGCTGTTATTTTTCTTGAGGCATCAATTTTTAACTCTAATTTGGCTGCTTTTATAAAGCTTTGTAGATTTAAAGGCTCCGGCGCTTCGACAAATAATTTGTCTTCCCCCAAAACAGTTGGTATCAACATTTATTACAACACTTGTGACACGACGCGAAGGCACAAAACAAATAAAAAGAATAAAAAAAGAACACAACCAGAATGCCAACATGAGACACGCGCAAATGTTACGCTCTTTTGTTCTCATCAAGCAAATCGGTGTGTATGCGAAAAACGCATGTATGTATGTATGCATGAACATTAGTAAGAAGTAACGTCTCAGCAACAACTAGAAAATTCACACCGCACAACAGCAACGAAAAAACATGCAAAAAGTTTTTTCGTTGTTGTTGTTGTGCGGTGTGTATTTTCTAGTTGTTGCTGAGACGTTACTTCTTACTAATGTTCATGCATACATACAACTTCTATTTACAGTTATATTTGGAAGAGAGCAAAAAATGTTTCGGTTCTGCTTTGTTGTGCGGCCAACCAAGCCAACACATCATCAACGCAAAAACAGACTTCTCACCCTCCTGTCTTCTTTTAAGTCACCTATAACACCAATTCAAAAGTAATCGAGAGCTCTGTTGTTTAGCTCTTTGAAAAAAATCCTCTCCGCACCCATAAAAAATATGTTCTAACATATAAAATATGTTGGTACCCAACAAATAAAATTGAGTTATGTTACAAAATGTTGCAAACAAATATTTGTTTGCACCGAAACAAATTATGTTTGCATCCAAAAATATATTTGTTTGCAACCAGTCCCAAACAAATATATGTTTGGATCCAAACATATTTCTAACATATATTTTTCTGCGTGTAGATACCAACAGACACCTCAATATCAAATTTCAGGATTCCAATTCTATCCCTTCATTCAATGCCATATTCAGTACCATTTAGTACTTTTCGTACAAATATAGGACACATTTTCAAACCACCTCTATGTCTTACCCAATATTCAATTCACTACCACTTAGTACTTTTCGAAAAATGATAATTCGCATTTCCAAAACCATCTCCATATCTTAACCACAGACACCAAATTTGAGGAGCCCATCCCAAATATCAAACACAAATACCATCAGCTATCTAAATATCAAATCTCAGAATATAATCTCTATCCCTCCGACCAATGCCAAATATAGAACCATTAAGTACTTTTCGTACAATTATATGCACAGCGTATGCACAGTGACCCTATTACCAAATTTCAAGCCAAATATTGTACTATTTAGACTTTTCGTGCAATTGTAGTACAAATATCTAAAATTACCGGCTGAATACAAAATTTCAAAATTCCAGCTACGTTCGGTTAACCTAAACCGAACTCTTACATAATTAGTACCATTTAGAACAATTCGCACACTTTGTAGACATTTCCAACCGATGTTCATATATCAAACTTTCTTTCCAACCTTTATTCTCATACCGTTCATATAATGCCAAACGGTACCTCCTTTAGAACTCAAAGTCCGAATTTCCAAAAACCTTTAAATACATCCTGAGTGACTCTCGTTCCAAATGTCACAGTTCTAGCTCATTCCGTTTGTCCAATACAAAATATTCAATGTTTAGTACTTTTCGTACCCTTTTAGTACGAATTGACCACAGTGCAAAATGTCAGGATTCAGCCGATTCGCCTGGGCGTTGGTTCTAGATCATTCAGTTAGTAATTTCACTACTCTTTTCTGTTTTCCTTAATATAATTTCAATATAATTTTCTGATTTGTGAAAAATGTCATCGATAATTTTTATTTCTATTTAATATGTTTGGGCACTATATCTATATGTCTATATCTTTATCCAAATCCATATGCGACTTAACACTTTTTGCACGTCATTTCAAGGTTCCAATTCCGGGACTTATTAAATAATCTCGTTTTTTCACAAAAATTACTTAATTTAATTTCAATGAAATATTTATTTTGTATTTCAATTATTTATCTATCTTGTATTTATTCAATAATTTATTTACGTTATTTTCTTTCAAATTCCTACATTCCAATTCATCGACATTCCATCTACATCGACATCTCTAATTCCACATTCAAGTTTGTGGTCAATGCGCTCAAAATGCAAACGGAGAATGAGGGTAAGAGAAAAGAGTATTTTGAATTGTTGTTATCTGTTTATGGTGTTGAATGTTAATAACTTTTCTTTTCTAACTGTAATTTCAGTTTACTTAAGCGTGTATGTGTGTGTTGTTTGTGTTTTTGAATTGTTACCACCAAAAAGAGATACATTGCCGGTCTCAAATTTAAACACTCTCTTTAAGTTGCTCTCTAAAACAAAAGACTTAAGACACGAACATCGTTGGGGGTTGGTAATCTACGATAAAGAAGTACATTATGGAGTAATTAAATAGCACAACATAATTGTTCGAGATGGCAAAACATCACACTTTACAATATGTATATAGAAATTGGAAGCAGCATTTATTTTCAAATCCACTGAAAGTGTTTTTATCCTTTCAATACAAAACCTGTGAAATATATTACAACCTTAGAAGTGATACATTGAAG